TGATCCTGGTAGGAGAAACCCTGAAAAATAATTTGAATTTGGGTCCTGAAGGGTAAAGAACCCCCAAGAACTTTAAGTTTTGAAAACAAAAAGAGAAAAAATAATCACTAACATTTATATGTGTCACATGTTCTTCTTACTATAGACTTCTGAATTTGTGCTTAAAACACTACTATCCTTGGTGAATTCTCTCCTTTCTGTTTGTGCACATAGTCTAATTTTGGAGGCCAAAGGTCCATGGTATTTTGGCTTCATCTTCTGGGCCAGCTGAGATGGCCATGACCACTTGAGGCTCTGGGTCCTTCAAAGGCCACTTTGAAATGTCAGAAACCAGTTTGCTAGGGTTGGCAGGAGTATGGGTTTGGGAGACTGGAAGTCTGGTCTACCATCAAAAGCATGGCCATTCAGTTTCCTATAAAATATGTTTGGCATTCTTTCAGGCCTCCAGAAGACAGATGAGGTGTCAGGAGCTAGTGGGGACTCTCTTGGGTTCAAACTGACTTTGAGGATTCTCTGGAAAGTTCCTATAAAGCTCCATGTTCTGTTCCCCTCTTTTCCACAAGTGGGTCTAGCCTAAAGCCTGTGGCTTGTGATCTAGATTATTGAGCCAGGAAAGTCCTTTGAATGACTAGGGGAAAGAATACTGGATTAGGTAGGTGGTCAGAGATTTGCATTCTAACCCTAACTCAGATTCAGAACATTCAGCAAGTAACTTTATAGACACTGAAATAAAGAAATAACACTTAAGTCTGTTTCTTTATCTACAGAATCAAAGAGAGAGACTATATGAAATTAAAACGCCCCGAAGCTTCCAAGTTCTATGATTGTTCCTAATCAGAGCTCAGATCAAGGATATTCGGCATTGGCTGCACCTAAAATTGTTAGATCAGTCTTAAACCAGTATATTTGTCAGAATGGAAGAGTTGGTTCTTTTTATCTCTCTCTCTCTCTCTCTCTCTCTCTCTCTTTTTTTAAATCTCCTTTGGCCCAAAAGGTGGTTTTTCCTCCCAGCTGTCTCTTGTCACCTGATGTTTACACAGAGAACTATAATCAACAAAAATTGCTAAATGCAAGCAGCTTTGACTAGATTGGCTTCTCGGCAATGAAACCAACCAGTTCCTCTAAGGATATATTTGCCCTTTCTCAGCCTCTGTGGCACCAAAAGCCAAGGTCTCTTGTGGCAGTAGGTCTCTCGTTCCAATGTATGCAGGTAACAAGCTGTTCTTTCCCTGGCAGTGAAGATTTTCCTGTTGTGGCATGAAAGGAGGGCATTGTCCACTTTATTATATATTTTTTTGAATGAAAATGTTTTGAATCATTTGTTTGATGACTCCTGCTCTAGAATTGGGTGGAGTGATGACTAAGAGAGGGTTTTGTGGGGCCAGCAAGGCCTCCAGTTAGTTATAAGAAGCCATTTTTTTCTTCAATAGCAATTATCTTGCTTGACCAATTCTAGGGCAGCCAAGGGACAGTCATTCCTTGTTCCTCTGCTTAAACTTTGCTCTTGATGAGATATAAACATAAAATCAGAGAAAAAATAGTCCTGTATTTCATTAAAGGAAGTACAACATAGAGAAGTGAATCGTGTGCCTAGGAATACCTGAGAGTTCTTGGGCAAGGAGGTGGGATAGAGCCTCAGGAGCCCCATCTTAATCCAAAATGCTTCTTTGTGTGTAAATACATTGATTTGGCATCCTGTAGAAGATCTTGGGTACTCTTCTAAACCTTGGTTTTATTTCTAATATTCCACACTTCCTTACTGTATGATGCAGAGGAGTGTCTTAGATGCTACTAAGGGACAGGTACTGGGGCAACTGAGTCAGGGTGTTTCAGGGTACAAGTGCTTCCCAAAGACCATGACTCGTTCTGTCTTTTAACATTGCATGAATTCCATCTCTCCTATTTCTCCACTTTTCTGGACAATTTCACTCCTCTGTAACAATTCAAGAATAAAACTTTGAAAGAGATTGTATTGAATTGTGACCCTATGGATTGTGTGACATACCTTGGACATTTATGAAGTAGGGTGAGGAGCTGGGGGATACAGTATTTCCAGATACTGAGGTTAGAAGGAAATTTGAGAACCCATAGTAACCATCCCCCCCCCCCTTACTTTAGCAAGTAAATTTAGTCAGTCATGCTAATTTTAGAGATTGCAAGGCCTGGCAATTCTATGACTCCCTCAGAAGGGCAGTTCAAGCAACCTTTGTAGCCATTCTTTTTTTCTTAATCCAATCTAAGTCTCCTTTTTTTTTTCTACTCTGTGTTGCATGTTCTCTAAAAAGTCTCCAGTATTTGAAAAACAAGATCTAATCATTCCTCAGACTTATTTTCTAAGCCGAATGGCAAAATTATCTTAATCATGTTTTCAAATCTGTAAAAAAATTTTTTAAGACATCTGACAAATTAGCAGCTTATTGCTCATTCCTAGAATTTTTTTATTTTATGGCATTTCTCAAATTGTAAAGATTCCTCTCAGATAAACTGCATAGCTCAGGGAAGATGTGCACACTTGAATAAAAAGCCCCGGCTGACCCACTTACTCAGAGAACTCTTATTTGGCAACTTTGCCTTAAGAAGCAAGCCATCTGATAATAGCAAGCCATAATCAAGCAATGGAGACTCGCAGAAAAGCTATAAAGAAGCAGGCTGAAGAATCAAATTTGGGCTAGTTATAAGAGAAAGAAACCACTTTATATACCTTTTTAGCCTGTAAAGGTATAAAATATCAAAGAAATCAACCATTGATTTTAATAATGATAACCATAAAGTCATCTAGAAAACACACTGTTGACAAAGGGTATGATCAGTACCCTCTTAAGAGTTAGAGAAGTTTCTTACTCTAGAATGCCTTTCAACTAAATTTATTCAAGTAAATTTAATATTGGCATGAAAAGAGGTCAGCTAGCTAGAAATTTTCCTAAGGTGTTTTGTCAAAAAGATGTAAGCTAGAGATTGTTTTTGTTAACAACTCATTTAAAAGACCAGGAAAGCAGGAACAAAATGAAGGGAAAGGCTCCCGAGGGAATTAGTGATAGCTGAGGACAAAGGAGAGGGTAAAAGACTTAGGGAGTAGAAGGACTTCCCTGTGGGCTTTTTATTTTCCACACAATTTATTTTGAATACTCAATTTGAAAATATGTGAAAAACTCTGGGTTAGACATGGCACTATGAATACTCAGAATGTGTGGGCCAGTGTGGATCAGCGGAAAGTTAGAATTGGGATTCCCACCCCAATGTACAACACCACCTCCTTGACCGACAGCTGCAACAGCTTCCTGGCTTGTAGCCCAGGCTGCCCTTTCTAGTGCCATGTGTATCAGGCTGTGAAGGACCAAGAGGGATGATATCAGGAAGGCCACTAGGTTGAAATGATGCCTATATTCAGCAATTTACTCAGCTGGGATAATGAATCCATCCTTTTCCAGAATTCCTTGTGTTTGTTTGGATCTTAATACTGAGCTTAAGTTATACCTTCCTTGAGGCCATACATTTGAACTAATCTAAGACCTGCAAAATTCCATCAATGTTCTTAATGAATTATTCATTCAATATTCACTAAACAAATACTTATTGAGTGCTAACTATGTTCCAGGCAAAGTTGCAGGCCTAAGAAAACAAACTCAACTTCCTATTCATATGAAGATCACATTTATTATTTGTACAGATTATATGTTTTGTTTATAAGCAAAACTAGTGAAATGTGAAGCATGAATTAAAAAACTCCAATAAGGAAAGAGGGCCTACCCATAATAGGAGCCTCAACAGTGAACACTTCTCAGGTTTGGCTACAGTGTGCATCAGAATTAGAAAGGAAACTATTAGAAATACAGATTTCTGGGGCTCTGCCAAGACCATCCGATCAGTACTCCAGGTGTGGGTTCTCAGAGTCTGTATTTTCCCAAAACTCTCTATGTGGCTCTGAATGCTCCATCAGGAACTGGTTCCAAAACCTGTGTTTGGAAATCACTGAGCTAGATGCTCTCTTGATGACTGTATCTGTAAAGGTTCCAACAAGACAGGGAAGGGATATTTAGTTGAATAATTTGAGGAGAAATTACAAAGGGATGATTTACAAATGTGTGGTCAGACTGTTGGGAAACCCTAAAGAATAGTGCAGAACCCTGAGGCAGATAACATGTGGCAACTGTGCCCACTCCCATGCCTGAAGGAGTCAAAGGAAAGGATTTCTCAGAATCAGGAGACAGGCCCTCTAGACAGGACCTGTGCTATCCGGTTGAAAGATGCCACCAGCCAGGTTGGGCCAAATCCAGCTAGAATCCAGAGGGCTAGGCAGCCTATTGGAAACCATGTAGGCCAGTCTACTGGACTTAGAGAAAGATGGACAAAGATGAAGAGTGAATGTGGAGGAGAAAATGATGACTCTCAGCTCAAGGCCCTTTTCAGCTATAGGAATATATGAAAATAGAATGGTACCCCAAATAGGTCTCTATGTATTCCTAATATTTCATGTAAAGTTATTTTCAGGAGCGAATGCTTAGCTCTTATTATTATCTCTGCTTGGTACCTCCAGGGATAACAAAATGCCAGTTTATTTTTCCTTGATTTTTGATAACCATGAATACTTCTTGAGTATTCATTGTATTCCATACACTACGATGGTTTTATTTTAGTTTACAGAACAACACTTCAAAGTAGGTATTATTTAACAGAGAAGGAAATTAACTTATGGAGAGATTATGAAGTTTATCTCAAGCCACACAGTAATATAATGCAATATAATATATTATATGCAATAAAATCATATGTGGAGCCAAATTTGGCTTATACAAATACCCATCTTATTAACATTAATGCAGTTTTGCTAAGACTCCCCAGGAAAGTGTAAATCCCAATCACTTTAAGTAACTTAGAAGCCATCTTCTAGCCAATTTTGTCAAGTATGAAAAACCACAATTCCTTGTGTTTTTTTTTTTCGCATACAGTTTAATCAATGCTTGCATTTATTAAATATTTCATGTGATCCTTTTCATACTCAGGAAGCAAGTTGGGCCGTGTGGATTGACTGTGATTTTATGAATTCCTGCTTCAAGGCATGCTGGTGGGACAGAACAAAGCTAAGAAAACCAACTGTTCCAATTTGTCCTGGCACGAGGGATTCCCCAGGATGTGGGAATTTCAATGATAAACCCAGGAAAGTTTCAGTCAAATGGGGGTGATTGGTAAACACCAGATTTATTTCCTTTAATTTTATAATGAGCGCCTCAGAAACTTTAGAATCATATTACTAAAACTTTAAAAAAATATAATTTTATTCACATTTTCTGATCTTCAGGTGCTGGTTAGGTGGATCTTCATGTTACCTGAAACCCAGTTTCTGGTCCTTCCTTATGACAAGCTGAGGCACAAAAGTTGCATGATAGGACAAGGACAGGGAATCAGAAGACAAATTCAATTCAGGCAAGTCATCCTGGCATGTGAACATGGTGAGTGATGGAGGAAGTGGGCATTGTCAACAAAGCCCAGATCCCCGTCTCCCAGCTACAGTCTTTGGCTGGGAAGGCTTGGGGCTTATTATACTATGTTGCAATTGCTTGTTATTGCTTGTCTCCCTTGCTAGACAGAAAGATAACTCAGGGCAAGGATTGCGTGGTCTCAAGATTTAGAACTGGGCCTATTCCCTGCTATGAGCTCAATGACTCTGTGGGAGCCTCTTGGGATACAAGTGAGGTAGATTTATTCAAGACTTGTTTCTAAACTTTCTGGATTCAGCATAAAATGACTTTCAGAATCATCCTTGAAACACATCAGGTGCTTGAGAAAGGAGGATGGTGGTGGTGGGACTTCACACTATAGCAAAGTTTCTTGCTAAGTAAGTTTCTAATCTCCTTTCCCAAAGCTTGATCTACCCCATCAATCCCCTCAACACTGTAGGCATCAGGATACAAAAGTGAAGACAGCTCAGGGCCTCTGGGTTCGTTGGCTTTCTAGCCTCACATGGCCTTAACTCTTCTTTACTGTTTAGGAGGATGCCATACAATTTTTTTTTTAAGGGGACAAAGACTCCATTCAAATAAGTGATGAGGCTTCTACAGGAAAACTTCCAAGAATCTTTGCCAACCTGCGGTATTTGAAAAGGTAGAGAAAAGGATAGTGGAGAAATAACCAGCTTTATAAAGCACCGATTTTGTGTCAGGCACAATGCTACATTTTTATGTGTCCAAATACTGTAAGATTAATTTTCATTTCCATTTACAGGTGAGGCTGAGAAGTGGTCATATAACATGTCCAAGGTCATATAGCTAAAGAACTGCAGAGGTAGGATGTGAAAGAAGTTTTATTAAATCTCAAATACTGGTTAGCTAAACTGTCATCCTAAAGCAACACAGTATAGACTGGTGTCTCTCAAAATCTCTGACCTGGCTCCTAAGCTACCATGTTTCTCTGGGTTTTGATGCTACCCACATACTAAACATGACCAGGAAGTTTTAGGGTAGTTTCTTGAGAAAGTCAGAGAGATGTGGAACTAGTGGCCGGAAGGAGAGGAACATCCCTGAAGACATGAAGAACAACTTGAACCATGGTTTGGGGGTTTCCTAATATTATGTGGGGGAAGATACTTTATTTATAAGTGCTAATAAGATCTGTGGTTAGATTTCACTGGCATAAATTATTCACAGAGAACTGCTAAAGATTCTTCTCTCCCTGCAGGGTGAACAGCTGGCCTTCTGCCCTGCAGGCCTTGATGTTTTGGTTTTTTTGACGATCAGCGCCCTCTGGAGGTTAAAGCCAGAAAAGCAAAAGTATGAGAAAAAGGGACAAAGTGTTTTCTGCCCTTGCTTCTTCCTATTGAAGTCCCTGCCTCAAAGTACATTAAAGACAGAAGCAGAGGAGAAACAAAAAATTTTTTTCTAGTGTGACCTTAAGTATGAACTGTCATGGAAACACTGGCTAGTGATTAAGAACCAATTGGTTCCTTAAACCCAACTCCGAGATGCTGGTTTGTTTCACAGGGTGGATCTTCTGGTGTGCTTTTGGTCCTGTTTGGCTCAAGCAAAAGGAGCCTCAGAAACAACCCTTCACCAGGGGGAAGAACTTTGTCCCTTGACCCAGTAGTACAAAGAGCTGTTTTAGGCAAGACTGTGCAAAGTGATGGCACAACCCTGACAGAGACAGCTTAGTGATCTGGTGCCTGTGGTTAATGCTGAGGGGCAGAAGTGGAATTCCCAATCTCAAAATCTCCTTATTTTTCTTCCCAGCAAGAATGATTTAGGTAGCTCAAATGTAGCAAGTTTAGAAGACTTTGCTACTAGTGGGCCCTGACTTGAACATCTCCTTGGTTGGCTGGGCTTTGATTTTGTTCAGTATCTCAATCACTCTTTTGTGCCCACAATTCTGATACCTAGATCTTTGCCTTTTTCCTGTGGCTGAGGTCTCTTTGAATTGATAACTGAAGCATACAGACCACCCACATCTCTCAACCCATACCATTTTTAGCATGTTGTTTCCGCTCACAACTGCCAGCACCTGTGTCTGTTTGCTTGCCGGCTTCCCCTGGAAGCAGGAACACACTCTGGTCATGTGCATAGCAAGCCAGGAGTGCCAGGGAGTTAGTATGCACCCCTTAGCAGCTGTGGCCGATGACTGATAGTAATTCTGACATATCATCCACAAGACGTCAGTATAGTATCAGACCCAGTCCATCTATCTGTCAGATCATAGTCAGAGGCAGTGCTTAGCAGGTTGTCCCCTACAGTTACCAAAAGCTTCATAAGAGCAAAGAATAAGGCCTCAGTGAGCACTCCAAACTCCAATTCCCATTACAGGGAATGATTCTCTAAATCTCTTTGCTGTGATGCTGGGCAAGATGAAATAGCATTCAGTCTGAACAGATCCAAATTTGTTGGGTACCAAAAACTGTTTAGTCTCTTCCTTTCAATCGTGGCACCCCAGAATATGTTTTGTATTAATTATCTCTTGATGTATAACAATGACCCCAAATTTAGTGGCTTAAAATACTGGCCATTATTATCTCTCACAATGACTCTGAGTAAGGAATTCAAGATTGGCTTTTCTGGGTGGTAGCTCAGGGTCTCTTATCGGATCTTAGTTGGATGTTACCCAAGGCTCCAGTTATTGAAAGGCATGGTTGAAGCTTAGGAGCCACTCCCAAAGATATTTGTTCACATGCCTGGCTATAGGAGAGTGTCCCTATTAAGTCTCTCTGCAAAGCTGCCTGAGCGCTCTCATGGCAAGCAAGGTGGCTTCCTTCCCAAGAATGAGCAGTCCAAGAGGTCAAGATGAAACTGCAATGCCTCTTCTGACCTAGCCTCAGAAAGCATGCTCTACCGTTTGTTCTATATTCTGTTTGTCATGCATACCAGTCCTGATCCAGTGTGGACCGAACTACCAAAAACATTTAAATTTTTTTTCTTATCCAGAAATTTCCTATAATGCTGTTTGCCACAATGGGTAATGCTGTAACCCTTTTTTCAGACATTCTTTAACCCACAGTAAGGCTTTGCCTTGATATAGAGGCAAAATTCTAGTAGCCTTCAGCCAATGACTGGTAGTAAATCTAATATATCAGAACACAAATACACCAGACCAGTATATCTGTAAGATCATATGCAGAGGCAATACTTAGTAGGTTTGTTCCTTAGAATGATTACAAGCAAACTTTATGATAAAGAGATGGAAATGTCTTAGAAATATACATATTGATTTGCATTTCAGCAACAACTAAGGGCTTTGCTTCTGGTAAGGGCTCTCAGTTGCCTCCCAGTTGGTTGGTTCTTTTCTAAAACTCTAAAAATCCATTACTTTAATTCTCAGAGATGTGAAGTCATAACCTTGAGCCCAAGAATCAGGCCAGAACATGGTTTGAGAATTGCTACCTGCAGGTGTTTTCTGGGCCAGGAAGCGGCTGCACAGTGAGGCCTTTTGTGGTGAGGGGATTCCACTGGCCCAATTGCTCACTCCCTGGAAGAAGAAGGTTCTACTACCTGAAGGACAGGACTTTCCAAAATAAACAGGCATTTCCTCCTGCCTCCAATCCCTGATCTCTGAACTGAGCCCCAAGTGCTAGAGAACAGATGCGACCCATGGATGCCTTATAAAGTACTATCCAATAACACTGCTCCTAAGGAACTTTTATATTCATTAAGTTCCTGCTTCCAAAGGTCATGTTCCCAGAAATGAAAACAAACAAACAAACAACAACAAAAAAAAAAACAAAGAAAAAATTGAGTGGGTGTCATTGGAAGAAACCAGGGCAAATGAAATGAAATGACAGCCATTGGTAAGCCTTACTGAGCAGATGTGGACATAACTTGGAATCACTTATGTTATGGGAAGATGCCCTTTCAGCCATTAAAAAAATGAATGGATAAATAAATAAATAACAATGCTATGGTATGTTTGCTTCATTGTGTAAGATGTTAAAATATGCTTGCTACCTTTTAGCTGTCTCAAAATAACCTCCTGTGGTAAATGTTATTTGCTTCTGCCCTGCACCCAATTAAAATGGAAAACCTTGTATTTTCCCCTATCTTACTTTATTAATATTTTTTTCATAGAGCTTATCACCATCTGGCATTATATCTCATGTCTATATACTTGTTTATTTCCTTATTGTCTATGTGCACATCTGAAAAGCAAGCCCTGTGAACACAGACATTTTGCTATTATGCTCTTTGCCACATTCCCAGAGCCTAGTAAATATTCCATAAATAATTGTGGAAAGAAAACTTTTGCATCAAGTGGGCTGTGACAGGTTAAATGACTTCCACAAGCCATGTGAGTCCACATTTGATTGCATTTTCCATTTCGCTGTGCTACCTCTCTGCTTCTGAGTCAAGAGCCAAAAGTCTAGATTTTAGAAAAATGGAGCCACCAAGTTGTAAAGCAAGATAGCAGCAGCTCTCAGATGAGACCCCAGGTCTTCTGATGTTTGGTTCATCAGCCTTGTTTCCCTATTATGGGATATGAGGTTCATGCTGAGGTTAGAGACTGCGCTTTCATCTTCCTGCTTTGTCCACCTGGCTGGTTGGGCTGTTCGTTCATGGGTCTGTAAATGCAATTCATGTAACTCAGCATGGTGTGACCCGCCTTTCCCCAAGTCCCTTCCACATGACCTCAAAGGCAATAGCTTGGAAACAGTTACATGTAACTACTGTGACTACTCAGATGGTTTTATCTAAATTGCTACTTGGACAGAGCTTATGTCTAAAGCTCTGAGCAAAGCATCTGAAGCAGCACAGGGAGAAAGTACCATGGAAGAGCAGGAGAGGACTTGTTTGTCTCATTTATGTGTTTTCAGCATCATTTGACAATTCCTTATCCATATCCAGTTTTACTAGTAAAGCTGAACCACCTGGTTTTCTCCTTCATCTCTCTGCTCTTTTTCTGTCTTGAGAGCTGAACGTAGCTGTCAGGTTTCAGCACACCTTGTGAACACCCGAGAGCTTTGGTTGCTAAGTTGGGGAAGCTATAGCAATGACTCCCTTATGGCCATTTGCTTATAGAGCCCAGAAAAACCAAAAGACATCAGCTAGAAGTTGATGCTCACAAGCAAACAGACTGGTCCAGATTGTATCCCTGAAGCAGCTTGTCCTGGGGAGGGGGCGGGGAGGGGGGGTCTGGAGTTACTGAGCAGAAACGTGTTTATACCCAAATGACTCAAATCAGTGAGAACACTGTTGGAGCCCTTATGCCCTGATGTGTCTATAGTGGATTACCACACTGGATCCTCCTTGCTTATATTTCCTCTGTGACACGTTTCCAAATCTTCCTCTGCTTGGCCCCGTTGGGTAGACTAAAACAGCACTGTCTGAAAAACTACCTCTCAACCGCAGCAATTAGGCAGAAAATAAATGAAGGATTTTTTTCTGTCTCCTGAATCCATTTGATCAAGCGTAAGTTGTTCTAATAATTTGTCATATTATATCTAATAATTTGTAACTTTTCCTTTGGGGAGATAGCACATTTCCCCCCTCCCCCTGGAATTTATGGAAAGAGGACAGGCCTTGGAATTCAAGTTCAACTCCCAGATCTGTCTGGGTGTGATAGCCCGTGACTATAATCTCAGTGGCTGAGGTTATAGGAGCACAAATTCAAAGCCAGCCTTAACAATTTAATGAGGCCCTAAGCAACTTAGCAAGACCCTGTCTAAGAATGAAAACTAAAAAAAGCATCGGGGATGTGGCTTAGTGGTTAAGCACCCCAAAGTTTAATCCCCAGTTCAAAAAAAAAAAAAAAAATCCAGATCTGTCATTAACTGACTTTGAAGCCCTGAGTGAGTTCACTAACTTTCTAAAATCTCTTTTATAGGGTTTGTCAGTAAATCTGGTATAGTAACAGCTACCTTGCAGGGCTATGGTTAAGTTTGTATAATGTGCATATAGCAGTAGACAGTGCCTGCCCTATAGCAGGGTCATCATTCATGGCAGTAAATGTCCTTGTCACTAATACTTGTTAAGTGTCTATCATGTGGATCAAAACCAGGGCAGCCTCAATGAAAGGTTGTGGAGAGGAACCTGGTGGAAATCTTTGTCCCTGCTGATTTTTATTTATCTGTTTGTTTATTTTTACTTTGGCAAGTTAACCTGTAGGCCTTAGCTTTTGTATCTTAAAAATCAGGGAAAATACCATTCTCCTCACTTAAAGGCCAGCAAATTAGTATTTTGGAGACATGCTGTACTGAGCTTTCCTTGAAATGTAACTTGACTTCTTATAACCCTGGGTTGTTGCTCACACATTTTACAAATAAACAAAACGAACCCCAGAAAAGTTAAGAAATTTGGTTGAAATCATAAGACTAGTGAGTGGCAGGGTTGGAACGGTGCCTGGATTTTCAAGCATTTGTTCACAGACCATTTACTAAATGAGACATGGTATTAAAACTTAGTAAATACTGGTTTTATTATTGTTATTTTTGTGCCATGATGATCATGTTTTAAATACAGGACTGATGATTGGGATTACAAGGAAAACCATAATAATCTCTGACATTGAGGAACTGAAAATATATTAGGGATTCTGTGTTCTTTTGCACATCAAAATTGCCTTCCAAAAATAGAAGTAATGTTCTGATTAAAATAGAAAGGGAAAAAAATGATGAGTATTTCATTTGGAGAAGAATAAAGGAAGACAGAGGAAGACCCCAAAGTGTTGGGTTATAGTAAATGAAATAATGACTGGAAAAGGAGATTGGAAAATAAAAATTGTACTTGAGTTGGAAGGCATTGTTATTATTGCTTGGTTGATGTTGTCATTTTAGAGATCACTGCTCTATCTATGATACCATTATCCTTTTAAAGAGAAGACTGAAAGTACACACACTTCAAGGCAGATGCTGAAGGTGGTTGTTTTAGTCAGACCTTTTCCATGCTGTGACTAAAAGACCTGACCAGAACAACTGTAGAGGAGGAACTGTTTATTTGAGGGCTCATGGTTTCAGAGGTCTCAATCCACAGATAGCAGGCTCCATTCCTCAGGGTTCAAGGTGAGGCAGGACATCATGGCAGAAGAGTATGGCTGAGGTAAACAGTTTACATTATGATCAGAAAGCAGAGAGAGAGAGAGGTCTCCACTTGCCAAATACAAATATATACACCAAAGCCACACCCTAATTCCCACCTCCTTCAGCCATACCCTACCACTTCAGTTACCCCTCAGTTAATCCCTATCAGAGGATTAATTCACTGATTGGGTTAAGACTCTCACAACTCAATCATTTCTCCTCTGAACCTTCTTGCATTGTTCCACATGTGAGCTTTTGGGGGACACCTTATATCCAAGCCATAAGAGTGGTGAATAGGGGTTCTAACAAGGGCCACAGGAATTCAGAGAAGGGAGCTCCTGAGAAGAAGATTCCTGAATTTAAACAAAGGACCCTGAAGGTGATTCCTCTTTGCAGTGTCCCAGGTGCAGAACTGATGATTCCATAGAAATGCCAGGGGTTCTTAGGTCATCTGGTCTACCTCAGAAGGATGGGATGGTGCTGGATACCAAGAGCACACGTCACTGTTATCTCTACAGATAAGCCAATTGGAGTCCACAGCTAAGCAGTTCAGAGTTAGGCAGGAATGGTGAGATGGAGATTAGATATTTCCAAGTTTGGTCAATGGAAGTGGGAAGAAGAGCCAGACAGACCGAGTTTGGTTTTTATTTTCTCTCTTTATCAATAAGACTTTAGACTAATTACATTGAACCTTTCTGAGCCTCATTTTTCTCATCTGTAAGGAGAGGGTGAGAACAAAGCACAGATGATTTCATTGAGTTTGGTATGGGGATAAAGTGAAACAGAAGCAAGAATGTAGCCTAGTACAGAAGAGGGTGTCTTCCCACCAATTTTTTTCAGTTGTGCTAATGAGTTTAACCCATTCTTTTCCAGGCTAAACCCAATAGGGAGTTTATGTTTCCAGGCAAAAAGGAAGGGAAGATTTTATTGTCTTCTTTTCTGGAATGAAAATATCACCTGTTTCCAAGGCATCTATGGTGGACTTCATCTTTGCATTTTCAGTAACTGTCACAGTGCCTAGAAGGCCTTCCAAAAATATTTATTAAACTGAAAACATGAACCAAGTTGTTAATGAAGCTTCAACTTTTCCCTCACCTGTCCCATCCCATTTGCACATTAGGAAAAACATCTAACCAACGTGATTTGAGTGAGTTCTGCTTCCCATCAGCTCAAGTAGCTTCTGTTGAGTCAACTCTCATGAAAATAAGACCATAAACTGGGGACAAAATATTTTAAAAACTAATTACCTAAAAGTACTAGAGACTAAAGAAAAACACCCAGCTACTAGAAGAGGATTGATTTGTGGACAAAGTGAATGGTACAGGGTATAGTGTTTTTTTTTTTGTTTTTGTTTTTAAATTGTTCGTAGATTTCAGCATGAGGGCAGCTTCTAATCTGTACCCCAGGATGAATTAAAGAAATGAAAAATGTCATCTTACTAGCCTGAGAATCAAAATACAGAATTCAGAGTAACCAAAGCTCCTATAAAGCGAGGAGAAAATCCTGAACAGGAGTGAGAGAATGAAGACCCTAAATCCTGTTTATAAATTACTTGAATCTCTCTCTGATCTTTAAACCATTCATAAATAACAGGGAACTGCTTCAAAACAACCAAGCAGCACACATTCTTTTGAGGAACATAACAGAATCCAAAGTTTCTATAACATATTTTTCCACAATGTTGGGAATATAATCCAAAATTAATTAATATATGAAGAAACAAGAAGACATCATCTGTACATAAAGAAAAGCAAAAATTATAACATTATTATATGGGATTCATAATGTATATGGATGTAATACATATCAGAACTATAACGTAAATGTTATGGTTTGTTAGATTTAAAATGAGATAATATAATATTAATTCAAAATTGGCTGTGAAAAGTTAAGAATGTGTATTATAATCCCCAGAGCAAACACTAAAAATAATGTGCAAATAGGTATGGCTAACAAGTTAAAAAAAGAATTAAAATGGAATCTTATCTTTCAAATATGATTACTGTCTTTCGGATATGATTCTACAGCAGATTATTAGGTCCACCCAAAAGCAGTTTATAACCGCAGAATAAAAAGATAGCAAAATCCAGATGTGAACATCCTAAAAGTTTCCCTAGAGACAAGACCCCTCCAGCCTTAATTAAAACAACAAGGAAAGAAATAGAATTCAGGAGGGACATCCCGGATTTAGGGACACAAGACTAAGGGCACATAAACAAAAAGTTCAGAGTTACTGGAGCAGGAGGGTTGGCAACGCATAAGAAACTCCTAGTTTTAGTCTGCTTCCTGCAGCTGTTTTCCCTAGGTCTTAGGGAAGGCTAATAAGGCCGAGGGAGGTGAGAGCCAGCCACAACCAACTGCTACCAGCACTTTGAACTAATTTGGGTAAACAAGTGGCTAAGAATTTTGCTAACTTCACTTCCAAGATACTGCAGGAAGGAAAACAGCAAAACATTATTGTTGTCCCTCTTTCAACCTAGTGTTTTTGCACCTGTATTGATGTGTCACAAAGCAGGGGAAGTTGCATAACCTAGTTGCAACCAATCCCTGAGTTTAGTCACATACTCCTTTGGGATACAGTTTCCAAATAAGTTGTGTATTTCAAAATCAATAGTTGTGAGGGCATGAAGGTGCCTGAGAAGTTCATACTATGCTAGCCACAAATTCCACATTATTAATATTGTTTAGACAAGGAATTGCAAAGATTGAAGATGGTTCAGTGATACAAATTACACTAAACTCTAAACCATATGTAAGCACATGGGAAACTCCTTCACATGGTTTTCTGGAATCTACATGTCTGACTCAGTCTTAAAGGTAATCAAGTCTTGCCCAGTTCTGATTCAGCACTGTACAGAGAACATATTCCTTACCCAAGGGATTATGATTTGAGAGTTTCTGGGGGAGAAGGCTGAAAGATAAGTAATAGAAGGACAGTGTAGATTCAAGATTATTTTAAATTTTTACTGGTTTATTTAATAGGATGTTTCAGAGGGCAGAGATGCCATCCTTGAGGAACCGCCACATGCTCAATTATTCAGAAGCTCTCTAG